TTCAACATTGTCCTAAATGTCTTAGAGAATGCAATAAGAGAATGAAAAATAATGTCTAAATTATAGAAAAAGAAGATACAAATTTGTGATTATTTGTGCATAATACATCAAAACCCCAAGAGAATCAAATAAATTATTAGAAGTGAAAGAAAATTCATCAAGGGGGCCAGATAAAAGATAATAGAAAAATCAATATAATAATAATAATAATAATAAATAAAAATCAATTAAAAAAAAGAGAAGGGTTTAATAAACCAGGGATTGAACCAGAAAAAAAAATTATTAGAAGTGATAAGAAAATTCATCAAGGGTGCCAGATAAAAGATAATAGAAAAATCAAAAAACTTCAGAAACACCACTAATCTGTTAGGGACTGTGTTTGTATGTAACCAAAAATCTGAGTAAACAGTGCCTTATAAATATTAGTGGTTTATTTCTCGTCACGAAACAAAATTCTTCTCATGAATATCGAAGCTAAGGTCTGATAGTCTCTTGATCTTTTTTTCAAGGCTTTAGCTCCAACCGTGACATCTATTTTCTACACAGGAAAAAAGGATGAAGGAAAGGGAAAGGCAGTACCAGAGGAGTCTGCTCTCTTTTATAAAAGAGCTTCTCTGCAAGCCCTACCAGCTTGCATTTCATTAGCCAAAAAAGTGTCACATGGGTATTCGATGCAAAGAAGTCTGGGAAATGAAGTTTAGTTGGCATACTGCTGCCACAAATAAAAGGGAGGTTCTGAGTACATGAACTCACCTGCCACATGCCAGTAACAACAAGTAGGAAATACAAAGGAAAATAATCCTGTTAACCATAGCAACACAAAAAAACCCTACAAATTCTTAGTAATAAACCTAATTAGAAATATAAAGGACATTCATGAAAAAAACCACACTAGGATCTTAAGAAATGCTAAGTGAAATAAGTCAGACCAAAAAGGACAAGAACAATATGATTTCACTTATATGTGGGATCAAAACAGCAAACAAACAAAAAACCTCATAGATGCAGACACCAGAATAGTGGTTAGCAGAAAAGGAAGGTGCAGGGAGGATGAAGAGGGTGAACTATGTGAAACACCGTACAAGGTGACGGAAGGAGACGTGACTTCAAGTGGTGCGCACACAATAGAATATACAGATGTCTTGTTATCAGTTGTACTCCTGAAATTTACAAAATGTTATTAACCAATGTTACACCCATAAATTTAATAAATTTTAAAAACTAAAAAATGTTGTAAGAACATCTTTTAAAAAGACTTGGAATAAATAGAAAAAATATATCATACTTGTGGATTGAAAGACTCACTGTTATAAAAGTATCAACTCCATTTAATTAATTCAATTTAATCAAAATCCCAACAGGATTTTCCACATAATCTGATGCCAAATTTCATACAGTAGAGTGTAAGAATTGTTAAGACAACTTTGAAATAAATGAATAATTGGGGGAAATCTGCCCTGCCCGATCAGATATCAAAATATGTGCTATTGGCACCAAAAAATGGTACAAAATATGGAATCCAAAAACAGGTTACATTCTCTTTCTCTCTCTCTCAAACACACACACACTGACCTAGATTACAAATATCAGTATTTTCTTTAAAAACATTAGTTTGAAATTATAGAACAGATTGCCTGGTGCAGCTCAGTGGTTGAGCATCAACCCATGAACCAGGAATCGCTGGGCCATAAGGTGGTTTCAATTTTTTATTTTTTTTAGGAAATGCCATACTGTTCTCCACAGTGGCTGCACCAATCTGCATCCCCACCAACAGTGCACAAGGGTTTCCTTTTCTCCACATCCTTGCCAACACTTATCATTTGTAGATTCATTATTATTGTTGTTGTTGTTATTATTTTAACGTATTTTTATTGATTTCAAAGAGAAAGGGAGAGAGAGATAGAGACATCAATGATGAAAGAGAATCATTGATTGGCTGCCTCCTGCACGCCCCACACTGGAGATCAAGTCCACAACCCAGGCATGTGCCCTTGAACAGAACTGAATCCAGTGCCCTTCAGTCCACAGTCTGACACTCTATCCACTGAGCCAAACCAGCTAGGGCTATTATTATTATTTTTTAATCCTAACTCAAGGATATGTTTTTTACTGAT